CAGAAGAATGACACACAGGATAGGGCAAAAGGAGACTTTAAATTGTGAGTACACAAAACACAGTTTATTCTTGTATTATTATTTAATAGAGGCCCGGAGCACGAAATTCGTGCATGAGAAGGGAGGGTCCCCTCAGCCCAGCCTGCACCCTCTCCAATCTGGGATCCTTCTCATAATTCAGGACTGCTGGCTCCTAACTGCTCACCTGGCTGCCTGCCTAATTGCCCCTAACTGGCCCCCCTGCCAGCCTGATCACCCCTAACCAACTCTGCCTGCCAAACTGATCGCCCCTAACTACCCCCCTGCTGGTTTTGTCACCCTTCATGGCCCCCCTCTGCTGTCCTGGTTGCCCCTAACTGCCGCACCTCACTGCCCCCCCTGCCAGCCTGGACACCCCATGCAGCCTGTTGCTCAGTCGTTTGGTTGTCCCTCACTAAACCCCCTGCCAGCCTTGTTGCCCTACTCAGTCTATTCGGTCATCCTTTTGGTTGTTTCGGATGTGATGGCCCCTGGCATACATAGATATGGATATGGATATGGATATGGATATACAGCTTGGTCACTCCTCATAGCCCCCCTTTCCAGCCTGGTTGCCACCAATGGCGTCCCTGCCAGCCTAGTTGCCCCTCACTGCCCCCCCCTGTATGGATATGGATATGGATATGGATATAGATATAGATATAGATATAGATATAGATATAGATATAGATATAGATAGATATAAATATATATAATTATTTTCTTACATAGTTGGTGATATATTCTCTAGAACTATCTCTATTTGAATAGCAAGCAATGATACATTACCCAGCCCACCCGGTGTGACTCAGTGGTTGAATACTGACCTATGAACCAAGAGGCCACAGTTCAATTCCAGTCAAGGCATATACCAGGACTGCAGGCTCAATCCCCAGTAGGGGGCATCAGGGGTAGCCAATCAATGATTCTCTCTCAACTTGGAAGTATCTGTCTGTCTCTCTCTCTCCCTCACTCTTCCTCTCTGAAGTCAACAAAACTATTTTTTAAAAATGCATTACCCACATTTAGAGAAGATTAACACAAACTGCCAAGTGAGAGAATATTCTATAATAAACCAAACACTCTGTTCAGATCCTAAAGCAGATGCTATACAGTTATACATAGTACATGTAGTAATTACAACACATTAAAATTATTTTAAAACATACCTTTGCCAGCTTTATTTCCAAAGAATATAAGTATGGCTTTAGGAATGCATCACAACAGAGTCTATATAAAATTGATTCCGCAAGAAAAAATAAGGCAGGTGGATGATCATAATAAAAGGAAGCATGGTCCAAGGAAGCATAAAGCACATTTAAAGCTTCTGAAAAATCAAAAAGTAGAAACTCTATAGTTGATAAATTATGCTGTTTTCTATATACTACAATTAAGTCTTACAGTGAACTATTTCCCAAGACCAGACTGTAGTTTTAAAATATTTACAAATTCTTTGACCCCTCCCATCAAGTCCGTCCCCTTGAACCTTGAACCTGATCAGGTCTAGTAGCTGCTTCAACCAATAGACTGGCAGAATTAACACTGCAGGGTTTCCCAGGCTAGACTAGAAAAGGCAATCCAGCTGCCACCTGGATCTTTCTTTCAAGATAGGAACTTTGGAACCTTAAGCTGCCATGAAGGGAGTCCAGCTTTTTCAGAAGTCACAAGGCTCAAAAGACCATAGAGACAGAGATGAGAAAGAGAAAGAGAGAGAGAATGCCCCAGGAGCTCCAAGCTGTTCCAGCCAACACAAAATAGGTCACCCAGCCACATACACAATCGTGTGGGAAATAAGACAGAATTGGATGACAAAAGACAGTGCTAAAAATAAGTGCTATAAAAGAGAAGAGTAGGAAATCAAGGCAGCGAAAATAGGGCCCAGTGGAACTGAACAAGGAAGAATATTGAGCAAAGGCCCTAAAGAAAATTGCACCTCAAGTAATCACAAAGATTTGAAGAACTGTCATGTAAGTATCTGAGGAAGAACAGAAAATGCAGGGACTTGAGAAAGGAAAAGCCCTGGCATAGTCAAGGGATGGGAAGGAGCCCAGCATGGCCGGAGCATAAGGAATAAGTAGGGAAGGCAGCCAAGAGCCAGATCATCCACAGCCTTGTAGCCCATAATATACAGTTAGAGTTCCTTTTAGGTTAAGATAAAAGAAAATATTTGAAATTCAGAATGGTCACTGCTGACTGGAGAGTGGACAGTAGAATAAGGAACCTCCAGACAAGGGTACAGGCTGGACACTGATGAGGAGGGTGTTTCAGTTGTGGAGCTGGTAGAAAAAAATCATACTTGGGTCTTTTATTTGGAGTTCAATGTTATCATGAGCTTTTGGTTGTGTGTGACAGAAAACACAGTGTCTTCAAAATAACTATGCTTGTAACTTCACAAGATCAAAGTTGGAAAGGCTCCAAGGCTGGTCAAGGTAACTGCCCTCTGTGTGCATGTCTCCATCTTCTAGTTCCCCTGGTGTGCCTACACAAGCACTAGGCATTTTGTTCTTTCCACCATAGCATTTAGAGAAGAATCCAGAGAGCATAGAGAGGAAAGGGGTGCTTTGTTCTCAGATAGGTCTTTATCAAAAGCAGTTCAAAGAATAAGTATTCCTAACAGACTCATCTTCACATTTCTTGATCAGGACCAGGTCCTGTGACTCCCCCATCTATCTAATCACTGAAGTTTAAAGGGGTGTTGTCTTAATTAGCTTAGCTCAATCATGATTCACCCCTGAGGCTGGGAAAGGCCAGTCCACTTCTGAATCACATGACTGCAGGATGCCTGAACAAAACTGAGGTTTAATTGACAAAGAAGAGCAAGTGGCTGCTGGTTGCTGGTAAGCCAAGAGTGTTTACTTCCGTATCATTTAAACATTTGATAGAGGTGAAGCTGTGGATGGCACTGTGACAAAGTGCCGTATAGGCAAGTTAAATGCAAAATTGTTCTTACTCTTCCTGTTGCTTGGAAGCTCCCAGACAGCACTACAAAACCCAATTTACACAGGGAAATACTCTCTGACCTCATGCATTTCACATTCTAAAAACTCATTTTAAAAGGCACACACATAAGATTTAGGATAATGATAAAAGCAATTTTACCTCCTTAAAAATAATGGTTTTTAATTTCTTTTTTAAATTAGTTGGAGGGTAGTTTGAAAGGAGACATATAAGTGAGAAGTGATAAATGAAAAGGTAATGAGTAAAGTGGCTGTTTAAAATAAGTGAAAAACTAACGGCCATTTGGTTAATGTTTTATGAGTAAGAATTCTAAAGTGCAGAATCAAGTTTCTCTATAGTCCCTACTATAATTGAAAAATCACTAAATGACCCTTTATATTACTTTTTAATTAGTTACTAATTTTAGAAAAAAGCAATAAAGACTATGCTGAGCAAAAGAGTTTAAAGCAAATTTGTAATTAAAAAGTTGAGCAAATTCATTAATTCAAAATTACAAAAGGTACTTTCATAATGAAACATTATCAGGTATTTCGATAGAAAAACACGAATTCTTTTCCTGGATCCTACGCAATTTCTAAATATGAAAGGTCTCAAATTACACCTTCACTGCTAATTTAAAAAACACTTAGAGTAACTAGGAAGAATTTAGTTAAAGCACATACCATCTTGAATTTGTCCTTTGCATTGAGCCAGATATGATATTTCAATCCATGTAGTAGGAAGATGCACATGTTCCCCGGTGCCTAATGTGCTGAGACCCAATTTTCTCTGTGATGGGGAAACATGAAAGAGGCAAACAAACATGTACAATTTATTTATTTATTTATTTATTTGAATTATCCCTTAATTATATTTTCAAAGTCATTCTATGAGGCTGATGCTCTGTGGCTAGAGTTGTATAAATTTTTATTTTTTATTTTTGCTTTTATTATTTTTACATGTTGGCCCTTTATGTAAACTGTTTTAGTATTAAAAGGTAGAGAATGTTTGCTACTATTCTGAGGGATATTATTAGTTATTTGTTGAAAATAATTATCACCATTTTCTAGGGCTTTCTTCTATTTTTATCTCATTTCCCTACCAAGAGGATGCATCTCTGATTTTAAAAAGAAAATAAAAGTATATTGATGAAATGTAATTCAATAGGAATTAGTTTCATGCCAAACAGCTGAAATATTCTGGCTACTGTACTATAGATGGGCAGAAGTTAATAAATATGACAACCCTCTGTGCATATATAGAGAAGGTTAAGTAAAGCCTTCTTGCCCTGGCCGGTTTGGCTTGGTGGATGGAGCGTCAGCCTGCAGACTGAAGGGTCCCAGGTTTGATTCCGGTCAGGGGCATGTGCCTTGGTTGCGGGCACATCCCCGGTGGGGGGTGTGCAGGAGGCAGCTTATCGGTGTTTCTCTCTCATTGATATTTCTGACTCTCTGTCCCTCTTCCTTCCTCTCTGTAAAAAATCAATGAAATATATTTTTTAAAAAAAGCTTTCTTCCCTCTTTGGGACACCTGATAGCTCAGTTACCTTTTTTTTTAAAGACAAAGTGGAATTTTCATTATCAAAAATGTATTTACCAGCCTTTGATATTTTGATGTGGGCTCTTTGACTAGTGTCAGCAGCAATATTCCCTAATAATTTAAGTGGAATCTTCACCCCAGAAGCCATTTGACATTGAATTATCTCTATATATAAAAGGCTAATATGCAAAGTGTCCCCTTGGGAGTTCCACCAGGAGAACAGGAGTTCGATCGCTCACTATGACGTGCGCTGACCACCAGGGGGTGGTGTGGAACATGGCAGGTGACCAGCAGCAGTGGGGTGCTGAGGGAACGAGGGAAGGAGGAAGTAGGGAGGCAGGGAGGTGGGGAGGTGGGGAACCTGATCTACCCTGATCATCAGCCAGGCCTAGGGGCCCTACCTGTGTACGAATTTCATGTACCGGGCCTCTAGTTTGATTATAGACTTTAATTTGCATTAATATTTTTAACTATGCCTACTTATAATTAAAAAAAGGTGTATTCTTACTTTTTTCTTTCAATATTTTAGAACAAGTAATCATCCACCAACTAGAACAGAAAGTTCATATACCAACTAAATCAAATAATGTAACACTACCTTACATTTGAGAAGGATTTTTCTAGCTAGGTCCAACAATTTTTTCTTCTCTTTTGGATTTTTTGTTTGGTTGAATCTCAAAATGAATTCTGCTGTGATTGAAAATGGTGGCCTAAACAAAACAAAACAAATCAATAATTATAGCTATCACTTCTAAATTTTAATTAACCAACTTTTGATGGTTAAGTATAACTATTTTTTCTTAAAAAGCACCTTATAATAATGTTTCACACAAAACAAATTAGTAAAACAATATATGTTTACAGACCTCCTAGATTAATATTATAATACTTAGCATATTTGGATTGAGAAACAAAATTCTCATGATGTCAATGAACTTTATAGCCTCTGGAAAAAATTTTCTGCTATGGTTGCCAGAAATCTTGTTGGTATATGCCTTCTTCCTAGGTAAAATCCAGCACAGCTTTAATTATGAAGACTGATTTATATCCTTAGATATGTCACTATTATTTGAATTTAAGATAAACTTTTATCCCATAATGTAAGCTGAATCAGTCCAACAATGGCTGGAGTGGGCAGGGAAGGAAAGATATATGTAGTAAGGTCAGAGTGACAAGTAGCCAAATTAACTCTAGATAAGATGGGAAGCCATTACAGGGTTTTGATAAAGGATATGGCATGATTTAATTTAATTTTTAACATGATCGTCCCAATTCTGGGTTGAGAGTTGAAGTATGTGGAGGTAGATGTAGCAAGGGAGGGAGCACACATTTAAGTGAGAGGTAATGGTGGCTTGGATCAGAGTTCTAGCAATGCAAGTAAAAAGAACAGTTTAGATATTGAATATATCTTGACATGAGCTCTAATCAGACTGCCCAATGAATCAGAAATTAAGTGTGAGGGGGGAAAGGGAATTATGATTGAACTGAGTAACTGGAAGGATGGAACTGCCATTTACTGAGATGGGGAAGATTGATACAGAAGCAGATGTAGGGTGAGGGTGGAGAATAGGTTCAGTATTGGACATGTTATGTTTGAGATGACCATGGCCAACCAAGTGACAGATGGATATATGAGTTTAATCTCAGGAAAAAGTTTCAGACTTGATACATCATTTTAAAAATCATTAACATATGTAAGATCTTTAAAGTCTTATGAATGAAAAGGATCCCATGAGGAAAGTATAGAGAGAGTACACAAGTATATCAAAGACAAGTGAGACAATTGAGTTGAGGTTGTATGCTAGAAAATGAGACTAAACTAGAGCATGAAAGATTTCATTTACATCCTGAAAAGATGTGCAGGAGCAGGGACACTGATTAGGAGGTTGCTGCAGAAAGACAGGAATTAGATGATGGTGACTTAGTGGATGAGGAGGTCATAGAGATGAAGAAACTGCTTAACTACAAAGGGCCAAGAATTCATCTCAACTCTAATTCTAAAGCCCACAAAAATCTGTTCCATAATTTAGTATTGATGTATCTGTGTTTTAGTCCTTGCTATAACTTGCGGTTCTTAAGTTTTTCCTTCTTGCTATATATACAGTTTGCTTAGTGAACATCTGGTGATTAACTGATACTAAACTGTCCTTTCTCTGTTTTACAGGAGCGGGGAAAGAGGCTCAGAGAGGGTATCAAACTCAAGATCATAGCTTTAATAGTGAACAGAACCAATATTTGAAATAAGATGTCTAAGTCTTTTTACTCAGGTTTTTTTTATAAGATCCCTCAGAATATATTACAGTATAAAAATATATACTGGGTGCATTCTTCTTAATAAAATAAACATCAATGTGACTTAAGCCTATTTCTCCACTACCATCTACAGACACCCCCAAACATACCCAACACACACACAGAGACACACATACAATATTTAGGGTTTCAAAGATAAATTAAAAATACATTTTCTGAAATGAGATATTTTATCTCAACTTTTTCATAGGCTCTGAGGAAAATATATTTGTATGATTTTATTTCTAAAGCAGAGAAAAGCCTCAGGCTGAAAACACTATGTAATTTAATTTATATGCTTAGAATACACTTTATAAATAATTTAAGTTTTGTTGATTATTTTTCAATATGGATTGTGGCCTGTAATGAATCATAGAAAATATGGAAAGCCAGTGGTTTTCAGCTTTCTGTGTAGATATCACATACTTAATTGGTCTGCCACACTCATGTCAATAAATATATTAATGGAAAATCAATATAGCTATTTTAATCATTTCTTACCCATCACAAATAAATTGAGATTGTTATAGTCATTTAATGATAAATACAACACATGATAAGAAGCAAAAGGAAACTTTGAAAAAACAAATATAGGCATTTAAAAAGAAAACATACTTTAGTCTCACACATTGCAATTTTTTCAAATTATCAAAGAATTTCACAAAGATAAATGTAATCTACTCTAAGTGCATGAGTGCAGTTCTGTAGAAAAGGTAGTAGCTGAAGATCATTGTCATAATTCTATATAATGAAAGCCTGATGTGCAAATTGACTGAACGGCAGAACAGCCGGTGGAACGACTGGTGGAACGACTGATCACTATGACATGCACTGACCACCAGGGGGCAGATGCTCGACGCAGGGGCTGCCCCCAGCCCGCAGGCCCCAGGCCAGCCAAGACAGGTGCCAGCAGGGGGCCCCGGATCACTCTGCTGGTCACCCCACAAATGGGCCCTGATTGCCGGCCAGGCCTAGGAACCCTACCCATGCATGAATTTGAGGCAGCAGGCCTCTAGTTTAATATAAAGAGAATATATTAAAGTCTCCCGACCACATGAATACCCTGCTCAAACTGACCCTTTATATACATTATCTGTGAATTCAGAATTTTTTTAGATGAAAATTCATTTGTACAGTACATATTTAATGAAAGCCTCCTACATACAAGGTATTCTGTTAGCTACGATGGGACTAATAGAGGAAACGCCTGGCCTCAGCAAATTCACACTCTAGGAGGGAAGGGAGACACATCACAAATGATGTAGCATAAAGGAAACTACTAAAAAGAAAAGAAAAGCTATGGGAGCACAGAAGGAGAGTTCATAATTCCAACACTTCCTAGTCCTATAAAGTTTGTTTAATCAGTAAGGTATAACCTTCCATCTATGGAAATGTGGACAAAATCTTATAGAATTATGAAAAGCATTAAGCCAGGATACACAGTCTGTTTCCGGGCAAATATTCAGCTGTAGATAACTGTGAGTTATAAACATTATTGCTTTTGGTTAAATATTCAGAAATAGCTTCTTTGCACATATGGCACTTGAGCTGTCCCTTAAAGTACAGACAGAACTGGAATGTGACAGAGCAGCGGTTATCCCTTCCAAATCTTTCTCTGCTTCTTCCTGAGCACACGATCATCCAGACACAGTCTTTATTTCCCAGTCTTTCTGGAAGATGTGTATGACCCATGGGCAACCCTGGGGGATGTGCACATCTCAGGTCACTTCTAACTTACAGACAGTCTATTTTCTCTAGAATAAGACTTTTTTCTCTCTCTTTCCAGTAGACTGGAACACAAATATAGTGCTGAGTCAGCTTTGATCAGGCAAATGAGTACAATGCCCTATGACAATGAGGATCCTGAGTTTCTCACTGACCATGAAAGCAGAGCTATTCTGTCAGCCTACACCCACTAGATTCATATGTCAGATAATACACGTCTATCTGACTTAAACCGCTGACACTGGTTGCTTGAAATTTACCCTAACAGAATGCTTAAATTCAAGATAAGAAATGAAGCTGCAAATGCTCAGTTGAGAACAAAAGTAAATGGCATTACATAGCAATCTATGGCAGACACAGCTGCCTACATCAATGTCTATTCTCCTTCATTTCTTAGGAAAGATTCTTTCTGGCAATTATGTATGCACTTATTTCTAGGTTTCAGCCAGTGAGATATAAGTAAAATTAAGATAGTAGTTCTAGGAAGTCCCCTAATAAAGTACACAAACCTTTTTTCTGCCCTTCCTCTTATTCTGCTGCATGAAGCATGACTGTGATGAGTGTCATTGCCAATGGATCATGAGATGACCTTAAGAATAAGCCATTTACAGCAGAGCAGCTAGTTAGATGGAACCTAGGTCCTGTATCATCTTTCCAGCTCTGGACTAGTATGAAAAAAACTTCAAAGAAATAAACTTTGATTTTGTTTGTCATTGCTATTTTAAATTGTCTTAGTTGCAGTGAGCACTAATTCTGTTATACATAGACTTTTGAGTTATATTTGATAAATAAGAGGGAATTACTAAACAGAAAAGTGATGACATTACAGCTCTATTTAAATTGACTAAACTGAAAATCATATGTTCAATGGTTTGTAATGAGAAGTGACTGTAAGTAAACAGTTGGGCAATTATTTCAATGATTTAGATAAGAAGTAATAAAGGTCTGAACTGCAGTTTGGGCAATAATAAAAAAGGAGTAAATGAATATGGGAAATTAAGAAGAAGTAATAGAGTTTGATGACTAATGAAATGTGAGAAAAGAAATTGTGAGGTTGGACATACACATAATCTCAATCTTTTGGTCCTACATGATTAGTAGTAGAGAGTTGGCATCAAGACAATTAGATAGAGGAATTTGGCGATTCTGGACATACTATGATTTACCTGTGAGATATCCAAGAGCAGTGGCCTATAGTCCCAATGAACATGTGAGGTAGGCATTGTGAAGTGAATAAAATCTGGAAATAAATATTTCAGATTCACCTACATATCAGTGATACTCAAAACCATAAAATTTCAAGAGGAAGAGTACTGAAGAAATGGGATATCTTTTGGACAAATCCCAAAGTTAGGAAATACGAAGGAAAGAAGAAACAACAAATATGATGGAGAATCAATAAAGTACTATAATGGAATTCAAATATATGTACAATTTGAAATATAAACTCCTCCTCTGAGAATTATTCATTACTCCCTGCTGAGCCAGTATGTCTAAATTTTATATTAATACCATATGACTCCAAACACCCCACCCCCACACCCAGGGCTAACGCTGGTTGGCTCACAATAGACATCTGGTTCAAGCTGGGCCAATCCAATCCTCTCTCAAGGGATTTTAAATAATCCTATATAATAAAGAGGTAATATCTAAATTGACCCTCACACCCTCACAAGATTGCTGCCTATGACCA